CTGAGCCACCCAGGCGCCCCTCAAACACTTTTAAAGACCAAGCAGATAATAATGTGTGAAGTTGTCAAGTATAAGAAAATTTAGGGAGATGGTTATTGTAGCAAATTGGAAAGAGTATACATATAGGCATTCAGATTCATATTAAGAACAAAACAAAACAAAGCAAAACAAAACCACTTTGCTGTTCAACAAAATTCTGTAGGTCTAACACAGCACATTGAATCTCTTGGGGAAAACGTCTGTAATCCTTGGCCTAGACAGCCTCTAGATTTCTTCCAGCTCCAAAATTCTATGTAATTCTACTACGTAATTATAATTCCAACTGCATGAGCAATTTAAAGTTACTGTGGTACTTTTAAATAGGGCAATTTAAATAATGTATTGTCTTCTTAAGACTAGTTCTAGTTTAAAAAAAATTGTTTTAGCTTTTTTTTTTTTTTAAGATTTTTTATTAGACAGAGAGAGACACAGTGAGAGAGAGAACACAAGCAGGGGGAGTGGGAGAGGGAGAAACAGGCTTCCCGCGGAGCAGGGAGCCCGATGCGGGGCTTGATCCCAGGACCCTGGGATCATGACCTGAGCTGAAGGCAGACGCTTAATGACTGAGCCACCCAGGTGCCCCTGTTTTAGCTTATAATAAAGAGGCTCAAAATAGTAAAATGAAATCAATACTGTTTAAACTAAAATAAAGCATAACCTCAACTAGACTATAGGACTACCTCTGAGTATTTACTATAGAAACAAAACTATGAAAAGAGATGCCAGTGAAAACCAGAAAGAGGAAACAGGAAAAATGAATTCCCACAACAGGGCACAGATGTCAAAATACTGTTTGAGGATAGCTTAAAAAAAAAAAAAGGGTAAAAATGGATGAAGGAGATAATTAGAGCATACATAAATCGACTGACATATGAAAAAGATTTGAATTTCTCAAATAGTCAAAAAACTAAACATTAAGATATCATTTTTGTCCCTCCAAATGACAAATTTTTTATGCCCTATTTAGCACATTTAACTGGCAATCTTATTTATTAAAATCACCAAATAATGCAAATGACGCACAAATTCATAAAAGTAAAAGGTCAGTGTTCCTCCACCTAACCTCCACTACCAACCACCTGGTGTGCATCCCTTCTTTTTGTATTTCTTTTTTTCTTCTTTTTAAAGGTTTTATATATATGGAAAAATATGGAAAAGTATAAAGACAAAATAAAACATGTCCATAATTGCACACCTTTTTGCGGGATGTATATAAAATAAAAAGTTGTAATCCTAACACCATCCTTTCTTTACTCCAACCTCACTTGACTCTTGACATATCCCTGGTCTCATTTAGGGGTTCCTGGTCCTCCTGTCCTACAACCTCCTGGATACGTAGAAATATATTCTAAATTATCCTTTCATAAAAATCTTAATTTTTACAAAAAGGAGAACATACTCTACATCCTTCTAAGTAAATATATAGAGAGAAGCAAGGGTTTGTTTTGCTTTAATGATAGTACCTTCTGTGAGAACAAGGGTACTACAGAACAGGGATTCTACACTGATTTCAAGTGATGGTAGAGATACATTTTGTCTACCTTTTGGAGGCCAATTTGGCAATATATAAGAATAGCCTTCAAAATATTTATAAATTTTGATCCAACAATTCCATTCCTAGAGATTTATCATTAGGAAATTATTGAAGATTTATAATATATACACATTTATGTTTATATATATTTATCTTTAAGGATGCTCATCATTAAATATCTAACAGATCAATTTGTAAATACATTATGCCAATATTTTTATGCGAGATCATCAGGCAACCAATTAAAGACCATGTATTTTGAAATACTGTTTAAAATGAGAAGTGCTCAAAATAATGGTAGATGAAAAGTACAGATAATAAAATTGCATGTGAGGGGCGCCTGGGTGGCTCAGTCGTTAAGCGTCTGCCTTCGGCTCAGGTCATGATCCCAGGATTCTGGGATCGAGTCCCACATCGGGCTCCCTGATCGGCGGGAAGCCTGCTTCTCCCTCTCCC